TTTTTTTCATATTATCATGCTTTAAAAGACACGGTCACACCCATTAGGGAGGTCGTTGTTTACTTGTATCGTCGTCCTTTAGAAATGAAAGCTAGGAAAAGTATATTGTGAAAGACGAGATATTACACCTAAAAATTCCAACTCGATGTTCTTACCCAATGTAGCTCAATTAATAAAATATTGTTAAAAATGAACAAATATTCTAGGTATTTGGAAGTGCTTTCTTCAAAGTTCTAACCGTAAAAATTGTGGTGACTGCGTATCTACACAAGATTGGATAAAATGTGAAGCAATAATGATATTTACAAAATTTCAAGATGTTAGTGACATACTTTCTGGTGTTTACTATCCTATATCTCATCTTGTGCTTGCTCAATGTGTAGCCGTAATATGGTCTTTTAAAGATATTTACACTAATGATCCTGACAAGGAAAGCAAAATTGTTAGAGAAATGTTATCAAAATGGTTAAAATATTATTATTACATTCCAAACACTTTTTTAGTTGCACGTTTGGTAGAACCATAGCTAAAGGAACATGTCTTGCTCAATCAACTTCACACTTTTTATGATATTATGTATCAACTCCACTTCTCGCAGGAGTAGATCGTGAAACACCTAACTCACGGCAGTTTGTCGAATTAGCAAAAAAATTGTTGTATGAAATGTTTAGGGATACAACAATCTCAATGGGGGAAAGTGCGGCGTATTTTGCTTACGTGTCCGGTGGGTGTTCTTTTTATTCTTATTATGAGCCTTATGTGGAACAAACGACACACCAAGTGTCAAACTTTAGAGATTGGTAATCTTCTTCTCTTGCTAGTGGTTCAATCCCAAGGACAATAGAGACTGTATACTAGGAGCTTGATCACACCTTCTCGTTGAATTTGAGACATAACATTGCTCGTACACCAGAATCGCCACTCAAATTTGATGTCTTGAATTGGTGATAAAAAATGAGTGGAATTCATCCCATTCTATGAAATATGGCCAAGTAGATTTTCAGTGTCCCAGCCTCAACATTGGCAGTTGAATAAGCATTCAGTGAGGGGGGAATACACTGGACGCATGACGGTCGATTTTGATGCCACAAAACTTGGAGAATCAAATGCTGCTTTTTTATTAGGCAAGGCTGATCAAAAGATGCAAACGACCATGCTAAATGTCGAACATGATGTAGAAGATGACTGTTCCAATTTCACTAGCGTTATTGGAACTGAAGATGACTACCAAACCTACGACTACGACCAAGATAATTAGAGCGCCAGTCGGTTCAACAACACATCTTG